TGTGTGTGTGTGTGTGTGTGTGTGTGTGTGTGTGTGTGTGTGTGTGTTTAAGTAAGAGTGGGTACACATGTGTTGGTCATCTGAAGTGTGATCCATCGAACTTCTGACTTTCCACTGTGAGAATGAAGCCAACTGCAGCTACAGCAAACGTCTGACACCTCTCACACGCTGCCAAAGAGTGACCGTAATGGAATGGAAAAGTGATGGAAATGTCATGAGTGGTGGCGGCGGGGTGCAGCCACTGAAGAGCCAGGACTTACATGGAGTTATCTGGCTGAATTATGGTGACTCTGTTACTCCTCCTCGCTCCCACCTCTGTCTCTCTCCTCCTTCCTCTACTCGTCCTCCCCTCCCCAAATGTGCAACAACCTGAAAACAAAGAGTAATTTATGACATAGTTCCTTCCCTGCATTTTAAAACTCTTTCCCTCTTTTCTCTACAGTCTCTTTGAGTCCCATCTCTCCTCGCTCCATCTCTACTCCTCTTTTTCCACCAGCCCGTCATCCTCTCCCCTCTTTGAACGAGGAGGGATGTGGTGAAGGTATTTGGAGAATTCCTGCTGACCAAACCAACGCCGCCTGGCATGCTGTCTCTGCTCTCACATGGAACAGCTCTACCCAAATAAGGCTGGACTTTTTAACTAGACGTAAGTGGACAGACAGGGAGAGGGAGCTGCTGAAAGGCCATGCCCTTTTAAGGATGAAGTTTCCTTTTTTTCCCCCTCCTTCCTCTTTCTCCTTCACACTCCCTCCTCCCTCTCTCTCTCTCTCTCTCTCTCTCTCTCTCTTGGTAGACTAGTGAAGTCATCTTTCCTCATCTGCTCCTTTTAAGCCGGCCTTTTTGAGAGGGAGGTCCCTGCGACGCATATACAAACACTCAGTCAAGCATCCACACTCAACCACGCACGCTGCACTAGTAGCCAGCAGAGAACTGACCTATTCCTTCACACAGTGAGTATACTTTTCTTTTATTCCTCCATATAGGATGAAACTTCTGGGACATTTAGTAGGACGTCGCTTTATAGACCTCTCAGTCAAGAGTTTTGAGGCCTTCCTGGCTTCCTATAAAAAAAAAGATACGCATGTGTTCATTATCTTCTGTGTTTGAATTTAGAAGTTGTAGTCATTTCAAAATAAGAGCAGTGTGATCATCCAAAGGTCCAATTAGAGGTCCGTATGGAAATACACTTTGGGATGCATTTGAATAATAGCTATCACATATATGCACATCTAAGCAGGAATTTTACTAAAGTTTCTGAAACTTATATCAGAGTATCATACATTTGTTTGAGTTACTGTTGCATTCAATCCTGTGTGGGTGTTGATGTCTGTAAGAATACGTTTCATGTGATCGAGCGAGTGTTATTCACTTCAGTTTTAAATTAATCAATTGTTAAAAACTGCTGTTTTTGACATGGAGTCTGGTTGAAAACAAGCTGACTGGGATTTCCACCTAATTGTGTTTTGTCTCATTGCAATTACACTCAGTGTTTATCCTTACTATGATTCAGGGGTAATATATTTTCCATGTGAAGTGAGGATATGTTGAAGCAGAGAGGTGAGCCAGACAGTGTGGCATATCTCTGTCCGTGTCCATACTTCTATTTGCACAAGCAAAATAATCATCTGCCATACTTGGGCTTTGGACGCCTGTGAATTCACAAGGCATGAAAGGTAACAACACTTCCTAATGAGCACAGACAGACAGACTAGTATAGTGTCCGATCCTGAAACTGCGACACATGGGTATTTAACAAATAAAGCAATTTATGAACCACAAAGGAGAGACGAAATAAGGCAAATGAGAGGATGGGAGGAATCTGTAAAGTCAGTACGTGTCGGGAGTAGATGCGTGAAAATATGCTGCATGGATGCTGTGATGTAAAAACAAGTATAAGTAACCAAACTCCACCACACGGTAGTATAAGGGGAGAAGAAGAGTGCCAATAAAGGACTGCTGCTGCTCAGGCTTTAATGCATTGGACACACCAGGCCCAGGTGTGTCCAATGCCGCTGATTAGACTCAATCCGGTCTGCAGCCCTGGAGATAGAAAGCATAACAAACAGACATGCAGAGATACCTTCTCATACATTTCTAATCTCTGTTTAACAAGTTGTTTTTTTTTAATAACTGAAAACAATATTTGAAAGCTTTGTGTTAAAGATGGCAGCACACCCAGTGATTCCAGTAACAACCAGGCCAGAAGAAACATAAGTGAAGTGTACCAGTGGGCAGTTTAGCTTATAAGCAGCAACAACAAGAGCAGATAACAGTATCTCCACTGCCAATCATGTGGCAACACATAAACACAGCAGAACCAACCACATCCGTGCAACAGAGCGAAGGGGGCTGATCGGACAGCACTACTTCAGAGTCAGTAGAAAGACACCATCTCAGACGCACAGCAGCTATTACGTTTGTCAGAAGAATAAGCAGGACCTGGAAGGGTCTTGGCATTGGCAGCAGTTTTAGAAAACGCTTTCAGTGCTCATAAAAGTCTGGCACATCTGAGCAAAGCAGCCGATTCATAAACCAGAGCCATGAAACAAGAGGATGGAGTTACAGACACAGAACATCAGCATAAGAGAGAGCGTCCTTCAACCTGAGGATGCTTTTAGCATGCTTTACAACCCCGACCTCTGTAGCATACAATTATTACAGTGACTGTAATAAGTCCCAGGCAGTTTATACGTGCCAAATCATTATGTGGTGGTTAGCTAGTTAACTTGTAGGCGAGGCCGTATGACGCCATGTCCTCTCAAGCTGTTGCCACAGGCCTCACACTGGTTTCCTGCTCTGCCGTGAGGATTTACCATGGTAATAGAGAAACAGAGCAAAACACAACGGAGAGAGCTGGATGGATTGAGGGACTGAGGGGATGAAGTCATGTTTGTGGGATACGGAGCTTTAGGACTTTTCAAACGAGCCATGACAGATTGTATTTTCCTTTTTGTATTGTGGTCTTTTCTGCAGGTCATTACTTTTATTTAATTGCTCAATCACTGCTCAATAGAAACGTTCCTTGGAAACATTTGATGACCCACATCTAACTTTCTAACTTACCTTTAATGATATAATTACTGTTAGAAATTGAAAAACCTCAGTTCTTCCAGGTGTTTTCTTGAGTGAAAGGGGCCATTGAGTAGTCCAGGGTTCTTAAATGAACCCTTTTAGGCCCTGGGTTCATCTAGGATCCCTTTGATGTGCTTGAGGACTCACTCACATTTAAACAAGGTTCCTCCAGAAGCTGTGAGCTGAAGAAGAGTGCTTGCTGGAACCCACTGTGGAGGTCAGAGGTTCCTGCAGGAGCCTTTAGGTTGTTGAGGGTTCTTCCAAGAACCTCATCTTTAGGGAAGTTCACTTGGAGAACCTTCTGTCATTTTAAGTTCTTTGAATACCCAATTGGAAATTTGAGTAATCTAATCATATTTAAAGGGTTTCTTAGGTTGGATTGGATATTTAAGGCACTTTTAATTTTCACAGTGCAGTAATGAATTAAAACTACAAATGTTTTTTTTTGTTTGTTTGTTTTTTGTTTTAAATATAAAATCTTTTCCATTTCTTATTCATCTGTAGAAATTCTTTAAATGACACTTACAATGTAGGTTCAACATGCATGCTTTTGCAAGTTGCAGGGACAGATTTTAGTTGTTGTTGATGCAGTATAGTACAAGTTGTCAGCAGCAGAGCTAACTTTTGTACCATCAATACCAGTAGTACTTATAGCACTTGTAGAAGGAGTAATTGCAGAAACAGCTGTAGCAAATATATGAAAAGTTACAGGATTCAATGTAGCATCCCTTACTTTATACCCCTGCTACTGAAAAGGCAGTTTTATAGAGAGAGTTTATAACAACTGGGTCTGACGACGTATAAGAATGCAGTTTACAGAAATTATGTGAGTACTGCCTCAAATATTAAGAAGCATCCAGACAACACAGAAGCTTGTTTGGCAGATAATTCTGAGTTATTGGCTCTGGGCCGGGTCCCAAGGATAACAACAGGTCCCTAGATACACATAAATACCAGAAATTGAGACCAGGCACTGACGGACTTCCTTGACCTCTTAAAATATTATGTGATGGTTGTCATGCAATGCTCACCAACAGACTAATACTGGACATAAGGGAGAAATAGTGCTTCTCTTCTCTTCTGAAGACATTAGAGGGCAGTGATAGAGGGCTATTTCTTTCCCTACAAAGAGTGTAATGTGTGTGATTTAAAATGGTGGTCCACAGAGTAGTTTATAAGGCTAAGAAATAGAGGCCAATGGAAAAAAAAAGACAGGTTACCAGAAAAACACATCACTCCGTGATAATGATTATATAATGACGTATGTCGGTGGGAATAACAAGCGGGTATAAGTGTGTGTGTGTGTGTGAGTGTGTGTGTGTGTGTGTGTGTGTGTGTGTGTGTGTGCGCGTGTGTCCCAGGAAGAAGGAAACACAGACGTATGAAGATAATATATAGTATCTGAACTTGTGGTTGTATGTAAGGAGCGTGTTGCCCAGCATGTGTGTTTGGTTTCTTGTGGCCTAGAAAAGCACCGCTGGGAATGCAAAGAATATTACACAGGGTTGGTGGTAAAACTCTGCGGACACTCCGGGCAGGAATCCATTAATGCCGTTGGCATGCAGACTCTAATATTCAGACATGCAGGAGATCTACTTGCAGCGGTGGAACAAGTACACAAGTGCTTTGTTTAGCGTTACCACAAGGTCAGAAATACTCCACTACTATTAAATCCTGTATAATAAATGGTACTTTACTTACTGACAGTAAATCAGACTCATTAGATCGTTTCCAGCTGCAGCAGTCAGCCGCTTTCGTGAAAAAGCTCTAATAAACTTACTGTACTCTACATTATCTGCTCGGAAAAAGGTGAACACATTGGAGCATTTAGCCGCCAAATAGACAGATATTGGATTTATATTCAGCCTAGACTGTATACAGAGGAAGAAGTGGACAAAGTAACTGTGAAGACGTCACCTATCGGTTTGCAAACTGCCGTTATGAAGTGCTTGAGTTTGTTACTTTGGCCGTCACCATATTGGCTTTTTGTAAACCAGAAGTGATACGAGAGGGAGGAGCTAAGTACAACCGAACGCTGAATATGACAACTTGACAACTCCTAGACCGGACAACGCCGTGGTAGAGACGTGATAAACCTTTGTATCTACAGTTTAAAGGATTCACACGCCCTCAGATCCGTTGAAGAATTGTGTAGAGAGAAGAATGGAAGAAAGGATGTAAGGGAGCAATGGAGGAAAGAAATAAGGAAAAGGAAAATATAATAAAGAATTAAGTAGGGAAAGGAGAAAGAACTTGCGTGTTAGCTTCAGTTTGTATCGTCAGTATTATGAGACAGATTTACTTAAAACATAAAAAGACTTGCGTCTCTCTAGTCTTGGCCCATCTTGACATTCTGTCACTTGCAGTGAATTAATATTGCCAGCTGGAAAAAAATCCTGTGACCGATTGAAAAACAACATACACACAAAAGGGGTTGCCAAATGTTCGTAAACTACATTTTATTGTTGCCCTCGATCACAACATTTCCCGTCCTGTTCCAGAGATGAGCCTCCTCCAGTCAACTCCTGGGTTTTAACCTTTAACACTTGAACTTTGAACTTCCCCAGGAACAGGAAGTTGAAGCGACCTGACATCAAGATGGCAACAAAGGTTGGGTGGTGCAGAAAGCGCTTTGATATGGGGTTTTGCACTTGGCTGTCGGCCCAAAGGCAATACAGAGGCATAAGAGGCAAAAATGCTGGCAATGATATATGTGTTGACACCAGTAGAGAGAAAGAGAGAGTGTGTGTTTGTGTAAAACGAAAGAAATATGCAAATGCTGATATAGAGCTCCCATTGTACACCACTTTGCCTCGGACACAGGTCCTGATGGGGCTAAATGGTGTGTATTAGGAGACACAACGCTTTTCTGGGAAAAAGTGTTAAAATAAGTGCTGAGCCTATGCTTAAATACACGCTTTTGACTTGCATGTCCTCCATTGTATTACATATTATATACAGTATGGTATATTTAAGGAGTATCTGAGTGTGTTTGTAAGTATATGCCTTCAAGTTAGATGATTTGCTCAGCGATGCATGTTTGTGCAACAGCACTGCAATGTGAATATTAGCTGTTGGCATCGCCTTAAAAACTAAAATGTTGGACAAAAAGGTGCAAGAAAACAGTAAGTTAATAAAATCTATATGTTGTCATAAGTATAATCTCTGCTTTGAATTGTCAAGATGGCAGATAAGGATGATTCCAGTGAAGATCCAACTACGGATCATCACGTTTACTTAGCTCTCACCCTTTTTCCAGAGGTCATTTATTTTCGGGACTCTTTGACTCTCTCCTTAATTTCATTTCACGCTCTCTTTAGGGAGTCGGCATGGCTAACAAAGGTCCCGCCTTCGGCATGAGCCGGCACGTTCAGGATAAGATCGACAGCAAGTACGATTCTGAGCTGGAGCAGATCCTGGTGGAGTGGATCAGCCGCCAGTGTGGCTCCGGTGTGGTAAAGCCAGAGGCCGGAAAAATGGGCTTCCAGGCCTGGCTGAAGGACGGATGTGTGAGTGCAACACGCCTGTTTGATTACTTTTTTTTTTTTCTAGATGTTATGCCAAAAAAGCTGGTGTCAAAATGCATCTTCGATTTCATAAATCAGCCCCTAAAATCGGACTAATAAACAATATACCGAATAAGAATCATCTACATGATGATTGTTTTTTTATGATGTTTTTGCTCTGAAACAGCTGCAAGGCATCTATTTTAATTTCATGTAAGTCACATAACACCTTGAAGTTTAATATTCTCCCTTTTTGCAATGAGATCTGGTGAAGAAAGCAAGATCAAACCTGGCAGAAAAGTTGCAAACGACAATCACAAGTTGCTGCAGGGCTACCTCGTATTTTTAAGCATTTTACTGACATAAAACTATACAGTTTAAATGTCTCTTTTTTTTCTATTAGATCCACTACTGTTTTAAGTCAAACTTTTGACAAAATCTACATAGAAAAGCAAACTAATGCAATCAAACTAAAACTGAATTCAAAAGAATCAATCAAACCAAATCAAATGTTTAATGGCTGAATGTAACTTTTGATGAATATTTTAAATTTTATTTCTTTCTAACAAAGCATTACATGTATTTCAAATGTAACAAAAACTGAAGTTTGATGCAAGACAACCTCAAATTAAGCCCGTTTATTTACCTGATTGATATTTTTGTTAATGTTTCTTCACCTTCTCCTTCCCCTTCTCCTCTACCTCCCGTCACTCCATCTGGTCTTCCCCAGGTCCTGAGCGAACTGATCAACAGTCTGTTCACCGGAGAGAAACCTGTGAAGAAGATCCAGAGCTCAACCGCGGCCTTCAAACAGATGGAGCAGATCTCCCAGTTCCTCAACGCTTCGGAGAAGTATGGCGTCACCAAGACCGACATGTTCCAGACCGTGGATCTTTGGGAAGGTGAGGCGGCGTTTCATGGTAGAAGACAAAAAACCTGGCTTGAGATTAAGCACTTTGTTTGTGCAGTAGAGTAAAAAGTGCTTGGATGTGACGATGCACGTTTGGAAGTTTCATAATGTGAGTGATAATCCTTGCTGTGTGTGTGGGGGTGGACAGGTAAGGACCTGGCGGCGGTGCAGAGGACCCTGTCAGCTCTGGGCAGCTTGGCCTTCACTAAGGATGAAGGCACATACAACGGAGACCCCAACTGGTTCTTCAAGTGAGTCCAATACATGACATGTCAACTGCTTTATCTACTCCAATTAGAAAAAGTGAACCCTGCAGTTTTAGGTCTATTAATTCAGTGACTTTTTTGCAGGAAATCCATGGAGAACAAGCGGGACTTCAGCGACGACCAGCTGAAGGCGGGCAAAAACGTGATCGGTCTACAGATGGGGTCAAATAAGGGAGCCTCTCAGGAGGGCATGAGCTATGGAAGATCCCGACAGATCCTTTAAATATCACTGAGCCACAGATACCCAAAAACCTCTTCAGCCCCTTAATCCCTTCTTAGAGCCCTTAAGCGTCTAACATCATCATAAAACATCTTCTGCTTTAGAATTCAGCTACTTTAGCCCCTACTTCCCTGGTCTTGACAACCAGTACAACGTTTATAGTCTTAAGTGTAGTAAAGTAACCATGAAACCGACCAATGCCTTGGAGGTAAAAACAAGATGACAATGTGCCATAACTGACCGCTGATACTATAATAAATAAATGTCTGAATTATGGCCTTTTACTTCGTAGATTTTAGTAATATTTGTTCTGGATTCCGACACAAATATCAATCTGTGTTTACGTAATTTACAGAAGAATTTTCTTTTCCAAACTACCATTACAGCCCTACATTTACAATATTGTTCCTTGTTAATTTTTCCTATCTAACCACTTCCCACAATGCTACGCCTGCTGTATCAGCGCCAATATTTTTGTACATTGTCTTATTAAATAATGACTTTGAAATACATTTCTGAATTGACTTTGTGATTTTTGACCTTTCTGGGAAATAAGAAAATTGAGACACACTCACCATTTTTCTTTTACTACCATGCATAGTCAAGTGTTTCTTAAAACAACATGAAAATCGCGGCAGAATCCAGTGTCTATAGGTGCAAAGATGCTTCTCTTTCAGTGGAGTTGAGCTAAGAAAGCATCTCTTCAGAGACAGGAGTAACTGCTGAAACCAATAAACTCTTAATGCCCGAGCATGTTACCAGAGTTTTAACACAGACAAGACCAAATATAAACTATCCTTAAACGTTGGAGAATGCGTTTCATTGCAGTTTAGCATTACGCCAGTTTGGTGGCTACATGTGTGAGCTACATTGTTGCTCAGGGTTCCAAAAAGGTCAAAGCTAGCCTTAATACAGTTCTGTTGTGTTAAATTAATTTGAGTTTGTTTTGTTTGACGTTTTGTGTGATGTGAGGGATTGCACTGTTATGTTACTGCCAATACTTTGATTTAACACCAAATATTTGCAAATCGGATGACGCTCCCATTAACTTCAGCTTTATTTAGTGCTAATTAGCAAGTGTTAGCATACTAACAGGCTACACTAAGATGGTGAACATGGTAAACATTTACAGCTTAATAACATCAGGCTAAAATCAGTGTGTTAGCATAGTTATTAGATAGTAGCTATATTAGTTAGCATGCTGGCGATAGCATTTAGCTTAAGTGAAGGAGCTGCTTAGCTTAGCTGAATAATACAAGTCTCGTTAAACTCCTGTTGGCTTGTAAACATTCAGATACATTTCTTTCTACAGCACACATACAGAAACTTCTATTTTTCATACCACACTATCTTAATAATATCAGAGATTTGGTGTGTAAATGTGTATTAAAAACCACAACAGTCAAAGAATAATCCATCAAGTATTTTTATTATCATTCAGATCACCTGTGACTTGCACAGCAAACACAGTTTCCACCTTCAATCCAAACACTTCTTCCCATTAAAAAATTAGAACTCTTTAATACATTTTTACAAAACACTTTGTATAAATCATTTAACACGCTTGATATATTTATCTGTACAGCAGGCACACGATGTGTATATATTACACTTCATAAAAAAATACATATACAAATCCCACACTTGAGAAATCCCACTTCAAGTTTTTTTTTTTATCAGTAGTTGGTTGATAACCCGCCGATAACGACCCCCCAGACTTAAAGATCAAATACATAAAATAACACCTCAGAAAATAAATGTAGTTTATATAAAAAACAAACAATCAGCAGTATTCTTGGAACCTCATATTTGAGGACACTTTGTCATGGAAGACCACTCATATTACAAGCACACACACTCACACATTCATGTCACACACTCTGCAAATTCGTACCTTCCTGTAGTGCAAATTTACATTTTTTTTCTCTTGGTTTAATGACCCTCAGGTGTTCGTAAAGTACATCCCACCAATCTGTGAGCTAAGTTCTTCTCTGTCTATAAACCCTGTTCGGGCCTTCCAGTTCATGCCTGACCCAAACCTAATCCTGATTGGAAACTTTAACCCCAGTACTGACAAAACAACCCCACTTTAGAGGATTGTCTTCACGTTTTCTTTCCTCATGAGGACATTTGTTCGGGGCACAAGTGTACAAGAACACACACACATCTTTCAATAAAAGGCCATGTGTTTGGGACAAATAATCCACTCTTCAGTCAAGTATATCTTGTAATCTACACTGTGACCCCCCCACACCACCAGCAGCACAGAGAAAGGTGAAAGGGAGGAGAGGGTGAGAGCCTGAGACGTCCCGTGAGCAAAGACAGCGAAAGGTTTCAGACCCATCCCCTGGCTCAGTGCTATGTCGCCAGCCGCTCCCCATTCAAAAGCGGCGCTTTGGCTTCGAAGTCCAACGCTACATGCAGCTCCACCCCCGAGTCATGCTCCTCCTCGTCCCCCACGTCCTCCTCCACCAACGCATCCTCCACTCCTCTCCCTCGCCGCCCTCCCCTGGCCCGGTGACCTCCCCGTCTCCTGCGCAGGCAGAGGAGGCCCCTGAAGTCCAGGTGGGCCAGTGTGACCTCCAGTGTGTAGTATAGGGACCAGAAAAGAGCAAAGCAGCCCAGCAACAGCAGGAACTGAAGGTGGGGGGGGGGGGACAAAGGAGGTAAATCACAAGGAAGTGAAAATTAAATCGATCACTAAGTGTAAATTTTAGTATTCCCTCCTGGTTTAGGATCAGCTTGAGTTTGCTAAAAGGTTAGCAAATGCACATTAATGCTTCTTCAACATGGATGGTGCAAATTCTACAATTAACATCACAACTTCCCGTTTAACACAGTCACCAATGTCCGATTCACCTCCTGAGTGAAGGTGAGAACTATTTTTTTCCACCACAAATAGTAACTGGCAGGCAAGATTTCCTGGTAGTCCCTCATCCCTCCCTTAATTTCCACAGATCTAATAATTATGTTTAGGGTTCAGGCTTCAAATGAGGTTTAGGTTTGGCAATTGTCAAGAAATGTGTCTGTTTTTGGCTAATACCTCCATCCAACATACCTCAATTCTGCATATAGCAACAATTTTGTCTCATTTACTCTGAGTAAGAAATGGAACCATCCCTTTAATAGTGATTTTCTAAAAGGGGTGAGCAGTCTGGTTTTTCCAATATACATTATATAAGAAAAGACAGAAAGTTTAAAGAGAGACAGAGGAGACAGAGGGACAAGGTAAACAGAGAACTGTTTACCTTGAGGTTATTGGAGGTGAAGGGGCTGATGATCTCTGGAGGGATGTCCAGGCCTGGAGGGCAGGGCAGAGAGAAGTTGCTGTCCAGATACCTGCCACTCACAGCCTCCTCCACCAGCCTGTCAATCAAGGCGCAGCCAATCAACACGCAGAACATATATTTATTCATCTTTCATGTCCGTCAAAACACAGAGACAATCGTTGCATCACTGCATTCAGGTGATGGGACAGTTGTATGGTAAAATAATAATTCAAATGGGAATAAAACCAGGCCTAATACACCAAGATGGAAACCACAAGCATTCAGCGACTCAGAAGACTTCAACACTGTCCACACGGCAGCGAGCGGAGGTCTTACCTCTGTCTGTCCTGGACCTCGCTGGGGGTCATAGAGGAACCATACAGGGTCAGCTGCCACTGCTTCAACACTCCCGACGCTGCACACTGCGCGAGAGTCCACTCTTCTACAGCAACAACAACACGAGCAATGACGAACAATACAAAAAGGGACTGGAATTTTCCCCCACTGCTGAAAAAGACATTCCCATCCCAGTTGTGTGGGTGCGTGAGCTTACTGTGGTCAGAAATCTTGAGGGTGTACTGGCCTTCAGCTCTCTCCCCCCAGCAGCGCACAGTGGAGAAAGTCCAGTCCTGGTAGCCTGACGGGTCTCTATGAGCCAAACAAAAGAGAGAATACCGAATTAAACTGCAGTCAAAACACATTTTAATTCAAGTTCTACGCGCAGGGTTCGTACCTGTCGATGGCGCGGCGCGCCCCGATGATCGACGCCATACCGCTGGGGCAGACCAACACAATCTCCACGCTGCCACGGCAAGGGTGGTTTATGGTCACGGTGACGGCCACGTGCTCCAGCGTCTCCATCCCAGAGTGTCGGAGGTCAGCAGCAGAGACTGAGGGAGAGGAGGTAGCAGCGTAGTGAGTGAACACCAGAGTGTGTTTTTACCATTTCCTGGATTGATGAGGGAAGTCACGGGCCCGTAAATGGAAACGTCCGACACTACATTATAACAAATACAAATGTAAACACTCGAGAATATGTGAAAATATGATTAATGCAGGGTTTCTGCAGGGTTCACGAGTTGAATTTAAGACTTTTTAAGACAGTTTTAGTCGCACAAAGAATGCAATTTAATACCCGTCTAACAACTATACCTGCCATAGTATGATGGAAAACCAGTGGGCATAAGCCTGAGAGAGAGTTGCGTACTGGGAAAAATAGCGATAAAAAAAATCTAGTTAAATTCAATCTTCCATCAGACTCTCCATCTTTCTTTCTCTCTTTGAAGTATCAGTCCTCTTGCTCTCCCTCTCTTTAAGTGAGCCTCGGTGCTCTCTGACCATGTAGGGCCGCACGCATCCTCGGGGCAGGGAGGGACGCCAAGGGACGAGGGAGCGAGGAGAGTAAACAGAGGTGAGGAATGAAAAGTGTTGGGGGACAGATGTAGAGAAGGGGGGGGGGGGGAGACGGTAAGGAGAGACAAGTGGAAGAGAGGCGCCGAGAGGGCGAGTGAAGGGGATGTATGGACGGGCAAAAAGAGAAGGAGAGGAAATAGAACTGGCAGTTTTGCACTTTCAGCTGACTTTTCATCCAGAGTCTTTAAAGAAGGACAATATCCAGTGGATAAACTTCCTCCTTCAGGGCGTTTGTATCAGTAATAAACTCCAAACTATTTTCCAGGGAACTGAAGGACCTGTCTTTGCTCAGAGATGAGAGGATGAAGACATGGCAATGTGTGGGAAAGTACTTTCTGCTCTGCCCGAACCACATAAGTCTGTTGCAGAGTTTCCTAAACCCTGCATGAGGTTTACATGAGATAAATACAGAGTCTGAACTGCATTATACTGGGAGCCTCTAACCACGTCATGTGTCCCACTGTTCAACACCTTTTCGGGTCGAGTATCCAAAGTTTTGTTGGCAAAGATATTGCCACTACTGCCACTATTTTTGGTGGTGAGGGCAAATTTATTAGGATGGGCTGTTCCAATAAATTGAATATGTGATCATAAACTCTGAGCATGCTTTGTTAACAAGACTGGAGCTGTTTATTTAGTTCTCTCTCTCTCTCTCTCTCTCTCTGAGTCGAGTGTGCATCGTTTTTTATAAAAACAACTCTGACACACTGGATTCACATACTCGCAGGGACGTGACCGCTTTCATCGGTCACCGCGAGCTCTACATAAACACACGTGTGTGGCGACCGTGTTCACGTGGGAAGCCGGCGGTTTGTGCATCCACCAAAACACATAGAAACAACAAACACAGCTGAGTAGCGTGACAGGCAGATGTGTGCCAGTGACAAAAAACAACAACCTGTCAGGGATTTGACCAAGAGGAATTAAATGGCCACGTGTTTTATGGCAGTTTTTCTGAAACTTTTGGAAATTAAGTACGGACGCACTTTCTGAGTCTGCTCTGTAACTGTCAGCAACTTTTTACTTTGTCCTGAAGAAAGTCCTGTCGCTTGTGACCACACACACACACACACACACACACACACACACACACACACACACAC